AGGGAAAGAACAATAAAATAAAGAAAAACAGGAAAATTGGATGGAGTGAGAAGAAAGGAAAGAATATAAGGTTATGCAACATTTTCTGCACTGAATGGAATGTTTTCACATGGGAAAACTCCTTTCTCCAATTCTTCCCCACAGTTTTTCCTACAAAGAAGAACCCTTTATATCATCCTCTCCCATCATTTCAAAGTCTACAAAGGACATTATCAAAATATTACACAAACCAGAATATTTAATTCAATATATCAACCTTATATGATATTGGAATGAAACAATATGATCCTCAAAGGTACAGGTTGTTCAGTAAAGCTTCTGCTTTACTCCATTCACTATTTAAAAAAGTAGGAGTTCCTTTAGGAATTCTTTCTGACATAAAAGTCAGGAAGAGCTTACATGGGCTTATTAGACATGCTAGACAAACTGGAACATGTAAAGATGATCCTTGTTAACTGCAGTTCTAAATAATTTGAATATTTCCTGATTTTTCCTTATTATAATTTCTTATTATAAGTCTATGCTTTATGTAAGCCCATTCTTTTATTCTTGTACCTTGCTCACTGATAAACAATCAGTAGCCCAGCAAACTACTATGATTGCTATGATGGAGCTACCATTTTAAAGCGGACTTTCAAACTCTGAGCACTGTTAACTGCAACCAGTTGTGGAATTCCCAAGAGTTTGCACATCAGTCCATCACTGAACCAAAAATATTCTGCTTATTGGCCAAGTTGCCAGGATGTGATGAAATGACTTACTTGAAGGCACAAGCATGAGGCGCCCTGAGGATTGCTCTGTTCCTCTGTCATCCCCTCCAAAGAAATGACCTTTAGTTTAGATTCACTCAGGTATTTGCTAATATATTTTAAGTTACAAACAAATAAAGAGAAAACACTGGGAGGGATTTAGAAAAAAATTTAAAAAAAAATCCCTTTCTAGTTTTTTTTCATTACCAATTTCAGTTAACATACTTCAGCAGCTTTTTTATTTGCTTTTCCAAAAAGCCACACATAATTAAGATTTCCAAATTACTTATGTGGATTAATTCATGTCTATTTATCATTAGTCTTGCTTCATATAACCAATTATATCATTATATTATGATTTTCATGAATTCTTTCAGATAATTAACATGAAAATGTTATTTCTTCAATATAACGGAAGGCAAAATGACAATCTTACAACTCACTCTATGCTTCTCTGTAAGATGAGAAAATACTGTGGTTTCTTTTCAACATCCTATATTGGGCACAGTAGTCAGGTGAGTACATTAAAAAACTATTTGGAGGCATATGACTAAGGCATGAACAGGCAAAACTCTTGCTTCTTGCAGCTGCTTTGCAGACTTATCTTAATCTCTGGTGAAGGACTCTATCACTGAAAGCTACCTTACAAGTAATTTAAGTATACAGCAAAGGATTCTTTGACATAAAAAGTTCTATGGAATTCAATCCTAAGAAAAGAGAGAAGAAAATTAGTATGAGATTAGGGAGAATATGATTTTGTTTTCCACAGTCTCATCCAAATAATCTGATGCTTAAATTTCTGTGTAACTAAAGCAAGTTTTTATTATAAAAAATCATGTTCAGATGACACTTGTTTAATTTGAATATTTTTTAAAAAACTAAAAGTTTTTCCTAGCACTGAACTGGTGACAAAAAAGGTAAAGTGAAATAGAGTTAAAAATAATTGACTTATGGAAAAACCTTAAAGATGCCACACTATTGTGGAAAAGTTTCTTTAAATTAAATCTACATATTTTCAACAGAACAGTATTTTATAAAACATACTCCTCACAATTCTGAAAAAGTATGCACACAAACTTTGCCCTGGGAAGCAGTTAGATGAGCTTTACAAACTATTTCTAATTGCCTAAAAAAGATTAAGGCAAGCCAACGTTCAGAGAGAAGCAAAAAGAATACAAGTTTTGAGAAACGTCCTTAGAGTATCAACTTCTCTATTAATTGAGCTCAAACACAGATGATTCCCAGTAGTATTGGCAGCTTCTGGTTGAAATGGGATTTGTAACTTTAAACAGTAAGTCTGTTAGAACTCTATAAGGTTAAATAAAGTACTTTTGTGACTAAGTGGTTTCCAGCACCAATGCATTTTTTACGTTGTACTGAAAAGCATAATTATCAAGAGGCTAAGAAAAATACTACATTTCTAGTTACAATTAAGCAGTAGAACCATGGCTTGGCAACAAAACAAGCCAGTCAATATGACCACTTTTTGCTTCTCTGCTTGGGGTATGGACATGTAAAAATTTCCTGTTTGCTGAAACAGAGCAAGTAGCTTCTCTGTTCAAATCCAGCATACATACCCATTATGCTGTACACGCCTATCCCAAAGATTTAAAAAAAAGTAAGAATCAAAAGAATATCTGATTATATATCACCACCAGCGAACACAAAACACTGAGGTTTCACAGACCTTAAATTCCTCCTGGTAGTCGTTTTATTCTTATCACAACACTCAACAGTTTACTAATCCTTCAGTGACCAGAAATTAAGAAGAAACCACAATAACTATGCACATACACAAAACCTCAGAATATAATAAATACACAACTAAAAACCATTTTGTTTTCTAAATAGGCAAAAAGCTAAACTACGTATTTAACTGGACAAGAAGAAATATTTGATGTTTAAGCTGATTTAAATATATATGTCAAAGGATTGTTTTTAAGTGCAGAATGCTGCTGTTCTGGTGAATATTTTAATGCAAAAAAAGTTGCTTAGCAACCACCTAAAGGAACTGCCATCTCCTTTTATCTATATTTAACTTAAAAGTTTGTATTTCATAACTATCACAGTACACATGCTCTGTATTCTCTGAGATGAAATTGCCAATAAACTTAAAAATGCACTCAGAATTACGGAACGTTGAATACCAACTGGAATAAACAGTTTTTTGTCTTTGACCCACCATTGCCCTCAGTTCAATGCTACCCCAAGATTTTTCCTCTTTTTATTTCCCATCATGGTATTATACACAAAACCTCTCTATCATTACATATAATTCATATTGTTATATATAATGATATATAATTACTATATGTTAATTGTGCTAAAATTGAACCCTTAAACTAAAATGTGTACCTGCAAATCTAATCATCTAATTCATCACAGACAAAGACTGAACACTATCATTTTGGAGAGGTTATGTTTTTTTCATATTAACAGGAGAGCTCCTCCGGTCTCTTCATAAACCATCAGCTTATTGAAATAAAATAATCTGAAGTTCAAATGGAAACAACTCCATTCCTATATACTTATATACACAACATAGAATACTTTCTATTTCTCTCATAGTATCACCTTAATGCATGATGATTTGACTTTAGGTTCAAAATTCAAACATAACCTGACATGAAAAATAAAAATTCCTCTTGAATAGTGAATTGGAAAAGGTGGCAACAAAACACAATACGCCAAATTCAAGCCTACTGACTTCACTGCTTGTACATGAAAAGTTATACTAATGGATTCTGCAGGACAACCCTCAATTTATATAAAACATCATGACTACGTAATAGTTCTCAATGAACAACAGGGGTTAACTGGGGAACAAACAAATAGGATGCTGAAGCAAATGATTTCAAACCATCTTTTCATTGCAGCTTCTGTCATCTATAACCAGTCACAGCAGACAACATTCCCAAATAACAATTTTGGAATTTGCACCGCTAATCAGGGTGGTAATTTGAGCACCTATAAATTCCTCACCTTCCTAAGTATTATCGACAAGAAATATTTGATTGCATGCATCAATAGTTGGGTAAGACCCACTAATCTGAAAAAAACAAATTCTGGGCATCTGTTCAAGACAGCAAACCTTCAGATAAATAAACTGTTAATCTCTAGAAATATGAGGATTGCTTTAGGCACAAGCAATTAGAAGATGTAAGGCTGTATATTCTCCAGTCACGTTTTATTAGCTATGAACTCCTTCATATTTTCTAAGGCCCAACAAGAAAAAAATCACATTGGGATTTCATTCCAGATGATTCTTGTTACAACTTAACAAATTCTAATCCTATTTGGCATACTTATGTCCTCAGAGAGCAACATGAACAAGATAATGGACACAAACAAGGAAAACACTATTTTCATACCTTGAGAATGCAAGGTTTCCATAAATCTTATGACAGCAGATATATTTAGTGGTCAGCAGGTAGAAAAGCAGAGAAGAAAAGATAGTCTCTAATTTACCCACTAAATATAGTTCCTAGCATGGACTAGCCAATAGACTTAGTAGATTGCTCGCTCTTTTTTTTTTTTTTTCCTCCTCAAGATCTAAAGAGAGGGAATACTTGCATTAGTGTGTATTCTACTCCACGTACATCTGTCCTCCTCAAGGTCAAAAGAATTGCTCAGACATCAAACAAACATCAAAGGCCCTGTTGATATGCTTTAACAATTATCAAAACCTGTGCTGTATATGGCTTGACACATCTATTTAATTTCACACTTTTAATAAACACTGAAATCTATCCTACACTTAAAGTCACTCTAAGGGTGATCTGGAGTGGAAAATCAAAATATTACCAACTTATCCTGCAAATTAAAAGTGTATATACATCAACCCAAAAGCAACTGTTTTCAAAATTTCTCGTTTTTTTCCTATTAAAGAGACCATAATTTTAGCTAGCAACTCACCACATCTTTTTCCATATGGCTTTGACAACTGTATTGTTTTTTTTTTTTTTAAACCCAACAATATACAAAGTCTCTGGAGTTACAGACACTCATTGATCAAACAGTCTTAGGGCAAAACTATCAAGACAAGGATAATTTACATTTTCGTTGCAAACACCATGACTTGTATTATACACTTAAAATGAATTTTATTTCAGGCATTATTCCAAGTCCTGTGTTAGCATTTCTTTTTCAGTGTTGCATGGGGAAAATGTGTTATTACTTGGTTAGGTCTTAAATATTTTCTTGCCTAACAGTATCTACTATAAATTCTACATGGCACCTTTAGAATATTAAGCCAAGACCTTTGCACTGTAACAAGATAATAAAAAATTATGCAATGCTTGAGCCTGTATGACATGCATTAGCAGAAGTTCTGCATTTTCCTTTATTAGGTCTTTCATTGATTTTAATGAGTTGTTACATCAAGATAGCCTGTTACAGAGTCAATCTCATGATCACTTGTGATTTTTTTTTTAAGGTCTCTTCAATTTATCATGATTTAAATGCTACCTTCTTTTTAAATGAATTGTGTCTGACTATCAGTTAGGTAAACCAGAGAGACAGGCAGAAATCCTGAAAGTATTAAAGTGACAGAGGAGAAGATTTACTTTCCTGCACTGGCTGAGACATCAGCATGTGCACAATCCCATTTTCCAGTACTGTTTTAATATTCCATATATATTTCAGTAGGTTTAGACCACACATTCAGCGTATTTTTTCCAAAGTCTAAAGCTATTCACTCAACTGTGTGACAAGGGTTTATTTTGGTCTATAAAACTAATCCTGGGACTGTACAACTAAAATAGCTTTTTACCGCAACAGGTGTTAGATGATCATGAGCAGAGCTGGGCTTAAAGCTCTTAGCTGCAGCCATTAGAAATACCTCTCGGTGTTAAAAAGTCAAGAGCAAGGCCAAAACACCATCAGTGATCCACATCAAGGGACTAGTTTAATTAGAATGGTATTTTTAAAATTTGCCTTGTCTAGTCTTGTCTGGTAGCCTCAGCACTCAAGTTGTAACATCACATTACTGTAAATACAGTACCTTTTGTCGAATTTGACTGCTAAAACCAGAAGACATATCTGATTTTTTTGCATTTTTATATACTTCAGTGTGTTTGAATGAGATTATTTCACATACATAATTTCACA